GCCAGATATCCCCACCGTAAAGGCACATCTCCCCTTTCACAATTAGAAGTCATCTTGGGGACCGGCCCGTGGCTTAGCGGTTAAGTGCGCGCACTCCGCTATTGGCGGCCCAGGTTCGGATCCCGGGCACGCACTGACGCACCGACGCACCGCTTCTCCGGCCATGCTGAGGCCGCGTCCCACATACAGCAACTAGAAGGATGTGCAACTATGACATACAGCTGTCTACTGGGGCTTTGGGGGAAAAAAAAGGAGGCTAAGCCACAGGGCCGGCCCTGTAACTCCTTTGTAACCTCTGTTTTCCCCATGGTGTCTGTTTTGCTCACTGCTGGACCCTCGCACCTGGAACAGAGCAGGCACGCCATGACCGTTTGAAGGAAAGACGTGGAATTTGTGATTTCTATCTTTGATATTGAAAGCTGGCTGTGTGTTGTTAATTTTTTTTTTTTTTTGTGAGGGAGGTCAGCCCTGAGCTAACATCTGTGCTAATCCTCCTCTTTTTGCTGAGGAAGACTGGCTCTGAGCTAACATCTATTGCCAATCCTCCTTCTTTTTTTTCCTTCCCCAAAGGCCCAGTAGATAGTTGTGTGTCATAGTTACACATCCTTCTAGTTGCTGTATGTGGGATGCGGCCTCAGCATGGCCAGACAAGCGGTGCGTCGGGGCGCGCCCGGGATCCGAACCCAGGCCGCCAGTAGCAGAGCGCGCGCACTTAACTGCTAAGCCACCAGGCCGGCCCTGTGTGTTGTTAATTTTAAACTGATTTTTACTTTAAAAAATTAATAAATGTACTTGGGAAAATAACTCAAAATACAAACAGATGTATAATAAGATGTGTCCCTCCCATCTTAGATGACTCCCACCCAGTCCCCCAGCCCTGCTCCCCATGATTAGCCATGATTCCCGTTTCTTGTGTATCCTACTGGAGTATACAAAAGTATATATGTGTCTATTTGATAGTTCCCCCTAGTGGTAATACACCATCACCATTGTTATGAATCTTGCTTTGTTTCATTTACCGGTCTATCTTCCACCTCATTGCTTTTCATGACCGCATGGTATTCTCTGGTATAGACATAGCAACATCTATTTAACCAGTCCTATCTTGGTGGACACTTAGGTTATTTCAAGTGTTTTGGTATTACAAACAAGGATGCAGTTAATACCCATATACATACAAGGTTATATGTCTATATATTTTATCTACAGTGTAAATTCCTACCAGTGGAATTGCTAGATCAAAGGTGTCTGCATTTTAAAAATATTTTTGGGGGCCGGCCCGGTGGCGCAAGCAGTTAAGTGCGTGCGCTCTGCTTCGGCGGCCCGGGGTTCGCCGGTTCGGATCCCGGGCGCACACCAACGCACCACTTGTCAAGCCATGCTGTGGCGGCGTCCCATATAAAGTAGAGGAAGATGGGCATGGATGTTAGCCCAGGGCCAGTCTTCCTCAGCAAAAAGAGAGGATTGGCAGATGTTAGCTCAGGGCCAATTTTCCTCACACACACACAAAATATATATTTTTTTGATACTGTCAAGTCACTCTCCAAAGAGGTTGCATCAGTTTACACTCCTGCCAGGAGTGTTGTATCAGGTGCTTCTGATACACGCCTTCTGCTGTGTGTGTGTGTGTGTGTGTGTGTGTGTAGCAAGTAAACAGTGAACAGCTGCCCCATACCAGCCTCGATTAGAGATGTTTTCACAAAGCCAGAAGCCAGGTTGCCTTCCTCCCTCCCCTCCACCCCAGCCCCAGAGCCAGCCAGCCACAGCTTCCTGCAGAGTTTATCTCCTATCTCACAGCCATGCCTGCTTCCTTCTCTCTTCTCTCTGCCTCTGCCCCACTCCAGGTCTTCATCCTCCATCTCCGAGTCCACGGCTGTGGTCTCCCCATAGGGTCTCACGTCCCCATCCCCCTGATTTAGTTTCCAATGTGCAGCTGCCAGGTTTGAGCATGTCCCTCTCCTGTTTGTTGTCCCCCAGTGTCCCTCAATGGCACCCACTGCATGCAAGAAAAAGTCTCCTCCCTTGGTTGGCTCTAGATCTGCATTATCTGGCTCCTCCAGCTTTCTGCAGCATCATTTCCCCTTGTGTGCAATTCCAAAATTGTTGTCATTCCCACACTCCCGACTGTGGCCGGCCCCTGGAGCTCTGGCTTCCTTTCCTGCTGAACCTCGTAGCTCAGACCACCTGCACCTGAATCACTCCTCCTTCCCAAACTCCTCTGAGCCTCGCTCCCGCAGGAAGCGTTTCCCAATCCCCCATGGTCACCCCTGAGGGGTCAGGTGTCCCCCTGTGTTCCCCACCTTCCACATAATCTCCCAGGTTTTAGACAGTCTGTCAGGTCTCTTTCTCCACACTCGGGTGTGAGTTCCTTGAGAGCAGACGCACGGCCTAGTCATGGCGTGTCCCCGGGGCCTGGCACGGTGCCTGGCACACAGCGCCCATACATGTGGTTGAGTTGAACTCTGTGGGTGAAGGGTGTGTGGGTAGCGGTGGTGGGGAAAGGCTGACTGTGGTTTCATTCAAAGTTTGGAGCTCTGGTAACTCCCTGGCGTGTCTGGGCCTCTGGGATGCAAATCTGGGGGGACCAGTGTTTGCATGGAGAGCAGGAAATCCAGCAGGACCCCGAGGAGGACGAGGACGGAGGCGGGAAGGGCTGGGAGTCTACCGTGCCGAAGGCTCCCCGGCTCAGCTCAGACTGGGGCTGATGGAGCTGAGCGGGGGTACCCCGGGCTTCTCTTCCCAGAGCGGGGCTTCCCCGGCGGTCCGCTACCAGGGAAAAGTAGGGGGCAGGGTGGAGAGGGGGCAGTATCACACACTGCAGAGCCCCCTCAGAGACTTGGGGGGCAGCTCAGCATCTGGGGCACCAGGAGGCAGGCTTGAGGCTGGATTCACAAGGTACGGGGATGAGAGGGTGGGAGGGACAGGGGAAAGCTGGGGGGACAGGGACCAACCTTTGGAGGGGCAGATCTCCCTTCTCCCCAGTGTAGGTGTGTGGCGGGGAGAGCAAGGCTGCCCAGCCCCGGGAGAGGGGTGAATGATGCTGGCCCTCGTCCTTCCAGCCCCGGGGTGGGGGAGGGGGCAGGGGGTGTGCGCCCGAGGGGCGAGCGGGTTGAGCCCGGGCGTCCGCGAGGACAGAGAGGCCTCTAGCGGCCACCGTGGGAAGCAGGAGGGGGCGGGCGGGGGAGGGGCGGGAGGTCACTTCCTGCCCCGGCCTGGGGCTGCCCAGTTTTGCAAAGGAAGTGCTGCCAGGGCCGGACGGGCGGGGGCAGGAAGTGGGCCGGAGGCTCGTGCAAGGGCGCGGCCAGTAGGTACCGAGAGGCCGCGGTCGGGGGGCGGGTGGTGGCGGTGAACGAGGCCCGGCGCCCGGCCCCACCCAGTCTCCCCAGGGACCCTGAACCCCAGCCCCCAGCCCTTCCCGCGGCTCCTCGGTGGCCCGCGTCGGCCTCGTTTCCAGCTGCTCGGTTTGGAGCTGAACTTGGCTTCCCCATAACTGGGCCCGCTCCCCACCTCCCCCTCTGGGGCCCCACCACCCCTCCCCCTCCGCTCCAGGGCGGAGACCACACCCCTCCGTCTCCAAATACCTTCCAGGGGCCTCCCCTAGGGGGGCCTCCCCTAGGGACGCCTCGCAGCTCTGCTTTAGCGCTAACATTACTGAGTCCTCCGTGTGCGGGCATTCAGTCAATTCTGCAAACAGAGCGTAGCTCCATTTTGCAGATCAGATAACTGAGGCTAAGAAGTAGAATAATTAAATAGTACAGCCCGATGCACTCCGAGTCCTTCGAAGCTGTGGTTAACCTCGCACAGTAGCACTTAGGGCCGCCCCTCCCTCCACAGGGTTTGTCGAAAGGCGGTGTGGCTTCGTGGGACACACAATTGCACCCTCCACTTCAGCGTCCCCCCAATAACCACAGAGGCAGGATAGGGGCGTCTGGCTTTCTCTTTAGTTCTCATCACACTGTGGGGCTCTCAGTCACAGAGAAGGCACTTAAATGGGAAGGCCACCCGCTTCAGGTCAATCTTGTCCTCCCCCCACCCCCAGCTCTCTGGGGGGGGAGGGGCAATGATCTCTCTCCTTGACATCCCCCTTGGACTTGGTGGGTCCCCTTAACCGTTAGGCCCTGGGGAGAGACCCAAGGCCTTGACCTGCAGACTCAGCACTTGGGGGAGGGGTTCCAGATAAAGGAGTCAGAGCTGACAGGCAGAACGTCCTGGGAGCTGCCCCCAGCCAGCAGGGGGCGGGGCAGAGGGCTGCAGGGGGTGAGTTGGCACAGGGGAGGGGACAGCTTGGCTAGGCCTCCTGGAGACCCCCCAAACCCCACAAAAGGGTCCCACCCCTTGCAGATCCCCTAAAGGCACCGGTGAAGTATGGGGTGGGTGGGTGAGGCATGATCAGGTGGTGTAGAGATCCCCACACACACTCAGCTGGTGGGCCTACCACAGTGCTGGGCACAGAGAAGGTGCTCAATGACGTGTTCCGAATGAACAGAGCAAAGAGTGTGTGAGGGACAGGGGACAGGGCCTGGGGCCCCTTGGCCCAGCTTGTTTCATCAGAAAATAGCAGTTTAAAAAATGTAAAAATCCTTTCCCTCCCTCCCCCTAGTTTATGGGCCCAGGAAAGCGGCGAGGGAGGGGTGTCTATCCCGACCCTACCCTCTCCCCTTCCTCTAAAAGTCTATATACACATATACATATTTATATGGCACCACAGAAGTCCTGCCAAGTCCCCACACTTGGTACTGGGGGCGTCAAGGCAGACGTGAGGGGTCAGGGCTGGGGTGACGTGGGGAGCAGCCCTCAGCTGCTGCTGAGCCCAGAGAAGCTGGAACCCGGGGCCCTGGAGGGCAGAGCCCTGCTCCCTCCCAAATGGTAAGGGTCTTCTCCCCTCCTAGGCAGACTGGTGACGGGCATGTCAGTCCCAAAAAAGGAGGTGGGGAGACTGGTTCCTTCCCCAGCAGCCTGGACTGCAGCAACCTGCAGACCGTTCCAGAGCTGACCAGATGGTGGTCCAGGCCGGGGAAAACCCGGCAGGAAAGAGGGCTCTACACAAGGCACTTGGTATCCACTGTTCCCAGGCTGGGGGCTGAAGGCATGGGGCAGCAGGAACCCTGCCCCGCCCCCAAACAGAATCAGAAGGGGCCGAGGGCCCAATTTGGCAGCAGAGAACATGGCAGCACAGAGAGAGCAAGCGAGAAAGGGGGAGCGGCACGTGGGGCCCCAGGGGTCCCCTGAGAGGATGGAGGTTCTAAGGCACTGACACAGGGACCCAGGGGCTCATGGCCCTCGGTGCAGCCTGCTGCCCCCGTTGAGGCCTGCCCAGGCTGGTGGGGGAGACGCCCACTTCCCATGGCGCTGAGGTGGTGGCATGGCCACTGGGTTTTCTTAAGGCAGAGTCCTCGTGTGAGGGGTGTGGGCGCGGGTCAGGGGCAGGTCCTGGCCCCAGAGCGCCTCACTAGCTGCCAGGCCGTGGCTGCCTGAGCACTGAGTACACGTCGTCCACGCGGCTGAGCTGCTCGAAGAAGGGCAGGAGATCATGGAGCTCTGTGTCACTCATGTTGTCAAACCACGAGGCCACTGGTACCTGGGCAGATGGGTAGAGAGTGGTGAGGGGAGCAGGTGACCCAAACGGACTGCGCCCCTTCTTGGGTCTCAGCTCCCATCCCGGTCTGTGGGGCACTCACGGCGTTGTCTGGATGGAAGACGTACGAGGCGGGTGAGTTGTCCAGGATGAGCACACGCCGAAGGTCGCGGCCCAGCCGGCTCAGATCCTTCACGTAGTTCCCCCGGTGGAAGACGCATGACTCTCGAAACAGCCGCGCCCGGAAGGCCCCCCACTTGTCCAGCAGGTCAGCTACGGGGTCTGCGTACTGGGGGGTGGGAGGTGGGTCAGCCAGGGCCGAGGGTGACCCAGGAGTCATTGTCCAGAGGTCCCTCCAGCTGTGTGCTGGAAGCAGGGCTGCCCCGGGAGCCCCTGGGGGTCGGGGGGCTCACCTTGGCTAGGCTGGCGGTAAACAGAACGCACTCGAAGAGCTCGCCCATCCGCTGCAGGAACTCATCGACGTGGGGCCGCTTCAGCACGTAGACCTGGGGGGCAGGCCAGTGAGGGGGCTGCTGGCCACAGGCCGGGTGGGCTGGGGTGGGGTGGCTGAGGGCTGGGAGGGAGCGGGTGGAGGAGGCAGAGAAACACAGGAGGCAGGCTGGTCCCAGGGCCTGTGGGATCCACTTGGCCAGCCACCCCGACTGCTGCCGGGGAAGCCACCCACCCTCCAGAAGGAGATCAAAATGAACCTCTGACTCCTGGCTTCCGGCCCTACCTCAAGGGGAATCAATTCCCAGCCACATGTAGGGGCCTGGAGGCAGCCCCCTCACCCCAAGGCTGCAGGGCACCGGCCCCCGAGCCAAGTAATGGAGAACAGGCTGGACAGCACACAACCTATCCTGAATTACTTGAACTGGGTCCCGGGCAGGGTGGGGCAAGGGGGCGCCGAGGAGGAACCCCACTTCCTGCAGGCCTTGGAGTGGGGCCAAGTCCCTGAGGATCTGTGTGACCTTGGGCAAATCCCACACCCTCTGGGCCTCTGACATTCCACATCTAAAGTCCCAGCTGGGCCTCTCAGGATGGATGGGAGGAGCCTGGGGTCTGGAAGGCTAATGCCAAGCCCCCACCCCCACCCCCCCATCCCTGGCCCCTCACCTGGTGGACCACCCCATCAATCTCCACAGGGATGATGAAGTCGGCATTGTTCACGGGCTGTGGGGGGAGAGGGCAGCTGGAGGTGGGGCGAGGCCTGCAGAGCCCGCCCTCCCAGGTGGGGGCAGGCCCCCTCGGAGACCCGGGGCTGGGGGCTGCTGGGCAGGGCCCACCTTGAAGGAGCTGTGCACCAGGGTCTCGTCTAGGTCGATGACCACGCAGATCTTGTCCGAGTCCTGGGCCTTGGCCTCGGGGAGCAGGTACTGTACTGGGGTCTGCTGTGGGGATGGGCAGGGCTGGCTGGGGCGCCTCTCTCACGCCCCAGGCTTTTCTCCTATGCAGGTCTGCCCTCCCCAACCCTCTACTTGGAGGGCCACAGGGGCGGTGAGGACAGACCCCCATCTTCCCATCTCTGCCCCTGCCAACTCTGGAGCCTGGGACCGGCTGCCTGGTTCTCTGGGCCTCACTTCCCCACCAGGGAAACCAAAGCAGAGAAAAGCTCCCACCGAGGAAGGGGAAATTCAAACTTTCCTGGGCTGGGGGGCCCTCAGCAGTCTTGGGGCGTTCAGGACCAGGTAAGGAGGATCTGGGAGGGAGGATGGAGAACCTGGTAGGGGGGCTCCCCCTCCTCCGTACCTTCCAGGGCTGGCAGGCAGGTCATGATAAGCCCCTATGCGCCCTCCGGGCTGAGCCCAGAGTCCCCGCAGCCCCACCTGGCAACCACGCACCTTGGGGACGGCTCCGTTCTCCTCCACGAGCAGGGGCGCCCCGCCGTGGGCGGGCAGGGCCTCCCCATCATCCCGGCAGACGCAGCAGAAAAGCGAGTGGAAGATGCCCCGGCTCCGGGGCTTGTGAGAAGTCGCTGACTTCTGGTCACCTGAAGCAGAGAGAGCCAAAGTAGGGGTGTGCACACGTGCCCCCTGCGAACCCCTGCTGGGAGCGTCTGCCCATGCCTCCTCCTCGAGGGGGACACATACGGGGGCTCCAGGCCCTCCTGACCGTCTTGGCTCCAGGCCACCCCTCTGCTCCCCACAAGTCGTTCTACTGTGGCCACAAAGGTACCCACGTTAGGGGGTGGCCTGGCTGGAAGGGGGGTCCCGACAGTGCTTTCTCTTTTCCTCACAGCCTCCATAGCTGCTCACGGATCAGCCCCCTGGCGGCGCCTCCTGCCCCCCCACCTTACCTGGGCGGCCCCTGCTCAATCCGGCCCCTGCCAAGGAGGCCCGGGGCTTGGGGCCCTGGGGCCCACTCCCGCCCTCTTTCCATCCTCTCCGCCCCCGTGGGTCCAAAGTCCTCCCTGAAGCTGGGCGCAGAGGCAGGCGGTGGGGACCCGGGGCCAGTGTCGGGCGGCCATCTGCTGGCCCCGCCTCCTCCGCCCCCGCCCCGCCCAGACCTCCAACCTAGAGCCGGGCCTCCGCCGACTGATTGACGGGCCCACCCTCCAGCCGCCCCTCCACCCGGCCCCCTGCCCCCGGGCGGAGCGAGGCCCAGGCCAGAGGTGGGCAGAGCAGGAGGGACTTCCTAGCCTCAGAAATCAATACCGGGACAGGGAGGGGCCTACCCCCAGCCCAGCCACCCAGCCCCGGGGCGCCCGGCCGGGCGGGCCGGGGGCTTCCCGCGTCGGCGCGTGTGCGCACAGGTCCCAGCCCGACGCACGGGTCTCCCCGCGGGGCCGCTGGCCACCCTTAGAAGTGGCTGCGCCTCGCGGTGCCTCTGAGGGGCCCGGCGCCTCCAACGCGTGACGCGGAAGTTTGTAAGGAACGTGGCTGTGTTGGCGGGAGATGCTTCCCACCCTCCCCGGCCCGCTGTCACCTCGGCGCCCCCTCCCGCGACCCGACCAGCCCGTGGCCCAGAAGGGGCGGAGTCTCAGCGGGTGGCCTGAAGGCGCCCTCTCTGACCCCCCCTCCCAGCCCCACTGGCGCCAATGGGGGGGGAGGGGGCGACTCTCGGGCACCGCGCACCGCCAGTCCCGGAGACCCGGAAGGAGTCCGCTCGCTACCCTGCCTCAGTTTCCCCACCTCAAGCAGACCCGAGCGCCCAAGAGGCGCCAGGCCCCGCCCCGCGTCTCGGAGCCTCGCCGAGTTCAAATTCGCACCCCGCTCGCTCTCTGGCTGGAGCTTCGGGCCCCGCCGAGGGGGCGCGCGGAGCTGCAGCGGCGGCTGCCCCGGGGAGGGTCCCGGCCCCCTCCTCGCCCTCCCGCGGCGCCCGGGCTGCGACCCCTTCCGCGCGGCCCCCGTACCTTTGCCCCGTAGCGGGCTCCGCGCCTCCTCCTTGCTGATCTGAGTAATGACTGCCGAGCTGTCCATGGGGCCGGGCGCGCTCCGCTCCGGCCGGACTCCTGCCCGGGCGCCCGGCCTCCCCCCCGG